TGAACGTTGAAGAAAGGGAGGGAGGGAGGGAGGGGAGGAGAGAGGAAAACAATAATCTTGTTTCTGACACTTTTTTTTATCGAGGAAAAGATTGGTTGATGGATATTTTTACTGAAAAGGGTAAAAGTGTGCCAATTATTTCATGCACATCTTCTTTGTTATAAACGTTTAGACACTTTCACTTCTACGCTTATTCATCTTTCACCTCCGTTTATCAATCTGTTAAGTCAATTTTCTTTTCAATCGGTGATATTGGGCCGGGCCCAGTGGGCTTAGGACATTTGACCCCTAGCTCTAGGACCAGGTGGGTGGTGTTTTCTTTTTTTGATGGTTCATTTATTTGATCGATGAAATTCTAATGGGTAAATATCACGGTAGTCCAACCAACTTACTGGTTTTGGTTTAAATGATCTCTAAATTTAATTTTTTGCTTTTGAGGGTCATAATGTGCGTGCTGACCGGTTTAAATGGTCCCTTTCACCGTTGAAAACCGGTTGCTTATGCCACCTCTACATTTGAAGCTGATGTGTCACCCACATCAACATCGTAATTTCAGGTTTCCTTAATGAATATGTTTTTTAACTAAAAAAAGAAATAAAACTAAAATCATCCATCTTGTTCTTCTCCAAGAGAGTTTTTTGTTGCTCCCCATTCACAGAATCCAACCACCCATCGGGACTCTACAGATGCATTCTATGGATATACGTTTTGATTTTTTTGGGTTTTGTCGGCAGTCCATCTCATCGACTCTACCATTGCAAGTGATTGTTCAGGGTCCGATCAAATCTACGAAAAACTAATCTCAGTGGTGGTTATGGAGATGGAGTCTTTGGGGATCAAACTAGAGAATCGATACAACGAGTATCAACTTCTTAACCTCTTACATTTAATCAATGAAATGGGTATTGACTCTCAAGCGAGCTCAACGAGTCCTTTCATTCCGGAGATTCCAACCATTCCGATGACTACGGTTTCTTCTCCGATGGAACCTAATGCGTCAGTCGATGTACTTTCCTTCATTATCACTGTATCGTCATGTGGATCCCCATTATTAATAGCAACGTCTTTTGAGGGTGTGTGATTAGTATAGAAATTTAATAATGGAGATGATGTTTGTTAGTGGCTAGATTGTCTTCTAAGGACATAAGTTTGTTGATTGATTAGGTGGTGAAGGTGCAGATGGGGAGACGGATGTTGAAGTTTGGTAAGGGCGGTTGAAATCAATGAAGTGATTTCTGGTCACTGTGGCAACATAGTCTTTTGGTAGGGTAAAGATATTTATAGGGATGTGTCATAATAAACTTAAATCCTATTTGAAATTGGTAGGGTTCATGTGATCTAGTAGTGAGGGAGAGTCATCGCCTTTAGAACAATGGTCTGGTTCTGAACGATCCACCGATTTCTTTACTTTTGTACTTACATGGATCTAAACTGAAACAAAGAAGGCGATGAAGATGAAACATAGCAGGCGGTGAGCGGTCAACAAAGGGAAGGGTTTCAAATTTAGGTGAATTCGATACCGATGAATGCATGTTTTAAGCCTTCGATTTAGGTGAATTCGATACCGATGAATGCATGTTTTAAATTTTGGCTTCACGATACAGATTCACTGAAATAGGAGGAATTTGGATGTGGTTGCCGATGAGGTTTCATCTGGGAGAAAGGGAGTGGAAGGGGTAGCCGACGTGAGGAAAAGAAATATACCCTCTTAACGATCTGTCTTCTTCGATGATGATGAGAGAGAGAGAGAGAGAGAGAGAGAGAGAGAGAGAATTCCCTTTTACTCCAAAAGTAAAAATGTCATTTAATCCAAATTTAACTGGTGAAATCGGAAAAAATGAAATTCAATACCTTTTTTAATAAGTCAATTCTAAGTTTAACGGCATATACTACCAAAAAAATATGTGAGGGACCTTTTAAAACAAAACCGGAAAATTGGTTGGACTACAATGACATTTACCAATTCTAATTTAGTAGTGTTATGGTTTCTATTTTACACCAGTCTCTTCACCTCTCTAGATTTTTCAATAATAACAAAACCGTCTTTACGTAATATTGTAATTTATGGGGAAAAAAAATATACAATGAGGAATGCATATAAAATTGTAGAGCTTTTAACTTTAAAAAAAGGAAAAAGAAAAAAGCTTTTATACCAAAAGCTCATAATCCATAACACATTTTAATATATGTTTTCAAAAGACATTTTAATATATTTTTTCAAAAGACATTTTAACTTTTAGTGTTCTATATAATTCTATATTTTTTATAAGTTTTCAACTAGTTTGATGAACACAACTTCCATCTATCAGCTGATTTTGCTAATCACGACCCTATCACAATCTAAAACAAAAACGATGTTGGAACGGGCGAAAACATATCCCATGAACCTTGTAGCCTGAAAATAAAATGAAATAGTTAAATTTCATGATTATCGTACAAAAAAACATTATTACAGAGAAAACTATTTAATTTGGTAAGCTTTATATGTCATAAATGTACTAAAGAACGATAAATAAAGAAAGTCAGAGAACTAAGATTTTCCATCGAGTACATGATATTATTTTCATAAATATATTTTGAAAATACTTGTTTTTTATGATACGAGTATGGATTAGAAAATTAATAATACGAGTATTTTGTATGATACTTACACGAACTCATGCTTGTATCCAGAAGGTGCATTACTCGGTACATACACTTGTATTCTTTTTGTCTTGACCACATCTTCCTCATAAATAGTGCATAGCGACGGCCGCCAGTGTCCATTTTTCCCAACTGTTTTACCACCACCATTGCTGCTGCTGCAGCCGCCACCACCACCACCACCAAACTTCTTTTCACGAACCAAACTGACAGTATGACTTTTATTGTTTTTCTCCTTATAAACCGATGAAGACCTGGATTCATCAATGCCACAACAAGCAAAAAGACTAAGCAGAGACTTCATTTTTAGTTTGCCTCGAAGAGTTGGAGAATCTTTGTGTTTTTAAGAAGGAAATAAATGTTTTCATTTTATCTTATTTTACTTTTAAACTTTTTTATTAGACATCAATTCGCTTCTGGCAGCTTTTGATTACGATGTTTTCCCACACTTAACTCATTCTTAAATTATTGTAGTTAAAAGTAGATATGGTGGATTTATGATATGATTCGATAACGATTGATTTTAAATTTAGCTTTTTAATAATATTATTTGGATTTTAGAATTGATTTAGTTGACTAACGATTGATTATAAATTTAGTTTTTTAATAACATTCTTAAATTATTGTAGTTAAAACTATATAACTTATTTCGGTGGGACGAAAATCTGAGTCGAAGTATGCTTTTGAATATTTTAACCTATTCATTTAAACATAATAACAATGTTAGAAAATTTATAAATAACTGTGAAATTTACAAGTTACCATAAAATATAAAGCTAATTTATAGAGTACTGGGTTCCAACCGGTGGCGTGGGCTCCACCAGTTTCGGCCATGTATTGCTATTGGTTGATATTGGTTACGTACATTGCTATAAATGTATAAGAGTTATTGTCACTGTAGCCTAACAAATTTTAGTGGTTTTAAATGGTCCATGGTGACCTTTTCTTTGGTAGTTTAGGGGCATAAATTCTATTTTTACCTGCTAAAAAAAGCTCAAGACTTGTTATTACCAGTATCCTTGATGACGTGACTTATTTCACAAGTTATAAGAATTAAACTAAAATTTACCTCACAAATTACCAAAGCATAACCAAAATCTACCCAAACACTTAAAATGCAAGCACCATATCAGATCATCTCTAACTCCCACCAAAGAAACTAGTCACAATCGAATCAACATCCTTACAATGGCGAATCTAAAAAAAAAACCCACATGGTTCCTTATGTAAATGAAACTAAAAAAATATGAAAGTTTAAAAAATAATAGACAATAACAAATTAACAACTTAAATAAACAATAACAACCGAGCATTGAACAATGTTCTTATATCAAATACACAATAATAACTCTAAATAAATTATGAAATTGAATGTATATTAGTAAAATGTTAACATAATTTTTTTTTTTGAAATCTGATTAATAGGTCAATGAAATTGATATGTATTATACAAACATTAATCATACAAATCTCCAAAGGGTTTTGATTTCGAACAAAAAGAATTTTGTAATATGAAATTCTATAACTCACAAACCTGAAACAAGGCTATTGACTGAGTGTCAAGGGAGAAGAAACCGATGGGCTGGGTTGCTGTTGGCTGTCGCTGGACGGATGGAGTAAGTCGACGCCGACAACCAGGCTGGATGGTGTCCGGAGCAGCCGACGATCGTTGGATGGTGATCAATTTCGGAATAGGGGACAGACGGACAACAAGAAGCCAAGAATGAGACACTATATATCATTCAATTACTTATTTTTCCCTTTTTAATTTTTTTATTATTTATTTTTTAAATTCAGTGGATCATTAGATGATTAGATTATTAATTAATAGATGTGGACTTTTAAACACGAAAGATATGGACTAATGATAAAAAAAATTGCCAAAACAAATTAGGTAATTCCTTTGATAAAAATAAGGTTTTTTTTTTTTTTTTTTTTTTTTTTTTTTTTTTTTTTTTTTTGATATATACTTAATGCATTAGAAAAGAAAAAAAGGTAGGTCCTAGGACCTACCTTCTCCCTTTTTGCCTACACCATTGCATCATTGAGTCCAACATCGATGCGGAACGGACCCCCAATTCTGTCATCGGTGCGTACCATGACATTCGTATCTCTGTACTTTCCCATACATTTGCCACCCACCACAACCGCTTCTCCGCCTACCCACCACATTTTCATAGTCAGATTCTGAAGAACAAGAACTCTCCCACGAGGAAGACGAACCATTTCAAACTATCATCATCTTGGCAGCTTTTGTTTTTCATTTTCTCTTCTTTCTTCATCCCCACTCTACCATATATTAAAGTATCATGAACCGTTTACATAATAGATCTGACCTCGAGGATGGATTTTGATGTCTAGGTGTGTGACAAAGAAGTCTCCGTTGGAATGATCGAGAGGGAAGGCGTGTGTGCGGAACCGAAGGTGGTGCAGAGTATGGTGGCGGATGAGTAAAGAACATACACGATGTCGACGAGGCGGTTGCTGCTCTGTAATGAATTCAACAACTCCTTCTCATCCGTTAGAAGATTATCGAGTTTTATTAAATGATTGTAGATCCTGAATATTGTTTCGGCGGGGACTGAAGCGACGATGTTACGAGAACCCTCAAAGGGATCTGTCACCACCACAAATAGGGCGTTATCGGTTATCCAAAACGGGAGAATCATCTTCTTCGGAAGACATAACTACAACTTTTCCAGAGTTTTTCAAGAAGATAAGATGGTCTCATTCTGTGATATATATCAGCTAACAATCAATGAAGGGAATTTTAAGAACACGAACCCCCTTAAAAAATTGACATAAGAGATCGAAAAATACAGACAAAAATGATTAGAGTACATACAAAAACAATGTCGAGCGGCTTAGGTTTATATCTATCAGAGTCAACATCTAGACAGCCGCTGGAGCCAGAGATGACAAAGACAGAGCCGGAGAAGACAACATCGGAGCAGGTGAAGATGAAAGATGGTAAGCGATTTGATCCGATGCGGGTTCTAAAGAATGCATTACATTAGGTGTTACACGTACCAATTGAGTTGACATCTAAACCTGCTGATTAGGATGAGTGTCACCGGGTGACCCCTTCAAATTTTCTAAAAAGGACGATTTAAAACCTAAAATTAAAGTTCGTGCCTTTCAAATGTAAAAAATAATCACGATGTACTATTTAAACCAATATATTAAAGTGTGTTGGGCTAAAGTGACAAGAACCCAACATATAATAAGTTAGATTTTATTTTATAAATTTTGTAGATATATTCAAATTGCTACAAATATATTATAAAATTTAAGCAATTACCAAAATTGGTAATACATATTGCTAAAAAATATAAAAATATCAAATCATAATTGTATAAATTTATAAGAAATATGCTTTGCTTTAAATTAATAACAAATACAGTTATGTCTTAATTAATAAATGACTAGTTTCATTTTTTTAGGAAATACGAAAATCTTATGATTTTAAGGTAGCTTTTGATACGTGGAATCAACAAGGAAAATATAATCTTTTTTATGGTGTTTGGTATGGATGGAACAGAAACAGGTAATGATATCGACCAAGCATAAAGGTTTTACAAATAATATAATATATTCATTCTAATCATATTTGGTTTAGTTCGGTTCATTTTAGTTTATGTTGTCTGGTTTCATATACCAAACCCTATTTAGGCTTTTCAGTTCGATTCATTTTAGTTTATGTTGTGTAATTTCATACATCAAATACGACCTAAGTTATTTTTTCTCACCTACCTACAACAATATTATATGGTTAAATATAAATTTAACAAAACCTAATGGGAGTAGTTATATATTGACTTAAGGCTAACCTAATATATTTTGATTATAAACTTGACTTGATTAAAGAAAAAGTGAATAAAAAGTGATGATAAAATAAAATATCCAAATGACTTGCTTATTGTATTTTATTTTGGTGAGGTTCAAAAGTTATATTTCTACTTGTTTAACATTTAATCGTACGTAGGACCGGTCCAAAAATATATGGGGTCCGGACGAAAAGAAAAAAAGAACACCTTAAAGACAAATATAATAAAGATTCAACAAAATATCATTTACTCTTCGATATAGACGTGTTCAATCAGAATAACAAACAAAGTAAATTGTTATCTTTTGAGCTAATTTGAATTTCAACCAATTTTAAGCCCTAAAAATCTTTTGGATATATATATATATATATATATATATATATATATTATATATATATATATATATATATATATATATATATATATATAAACTACATAGCCCATAACAGTGGTAGAGCTAGATGGGACGTTGGGGGTACTACAGTACCCCCAAAAAATTATTTTATATATATAAAAAATATTATTTATAAACATTTTTCGTGTTATTGTACCCCCAACTAAAGAGATTATAATATGTTCTTTAATATCCGATATTGGATAACTACATATAATATATATTGACAATGTTTGTTTCCCTATATTCAAATATCTAGCTCCGCCAGTAGCCCATAAACTTTGGGCCCCATGGAGTCGTGGGCCCTAAGCAGTCATCTGGGTTGCCCACAATATGGATCGGCCATGTCGTATGCATCCATTTAGTTAGAAATGGATTTATGTATCCATATATGGTATGCATGTTTATGAGAAAAACACAAGTGTTTCTGATATAACTTTTTGTTTTTTCACACTGTCGATTTACAATTTTACATTAAACTAACAAGGTGTAAAAACAAACGATGTTATAAAGAAAAAATAATAAGGGAGATATTATATGGCATTAAAGATAATCATAATAATGGAGTCGAAGACCACAATGGTGAACTAGACTACAATTCAGAAATGGAAATTATGAATGTATGTTAAAATATGTTAGTTTTTAATAATTGCAATCGTAACATTTAACTGTGCAATCTTTGTATTCGTGTTCTTTGTGTATTTATGTTGTTTTTGCATGGTAATATATGAAATATGTGGGAGACGTGTTTTGTGATCAAATATGGTGAGAAGGTAATTGAATGTTAGATAGATTTTGGGTTTTAAGAATATCAATATTCAATATACTTGGATAATTTTTAGGATCGTGATAACAATCATTTTCTAAAATATGTGATTTCGACCTTATAATATGGGGATGGGGGATTTAGGGGGGTTCCGGGGTGGCACCGGCAACCCCTAAATTTTCCGGCCGTAGTGAAAAAATTTCCGAAATTTTTTAAATTTTTTAATTTTACTACTATCGTGCAACCTCTAATCTTCCCGTGCAACCCCTACTATGAAATCCTGCATCCGCTCCTGAATATAGGGTATCACAAAATTAGATTTGAGATAATCCAAGAATGATAATTTAGAAATATCACTTCTGAATCTGAAACATTGAAAGTACCTTATTGTTTAGTATTTGATGAAATAGAGAATTGTTTATGATCAATTTCATATATATGAGAGTTCAACCCTTTGTGTAAAGTTCACATGGAATGACAAACAGATCCTAAGGATCCGTGAGTTGAGATATGGCCTGACTATATAGTGACGACTAGAGCTCTGAATCCATTCATTAGATCATTTTGTTACACACATTTAACACACTTATTCTCTTCTCTCTAGATTCCAAATTATGATTTCTTCTACTCCGTTCTGTATTAATAGTCTATGTTTTCTTTTTGGTTTGTCATAAAATAATAACATACTTCTAAAAATTAATATTTTTTTTACCAAAATACTCCGCATTATTAGTTAACTTACCATGAAATTAAATGCAACAAAAAGACATAATTAAATGCAATAAAAGCGTATAATTGTCATTTCATTTAATAAAGATAATGATAATTAATATTTTCATAATCTGTGTAGTTTTTGTTTATGGACGATAATTTTGAGACGGAGGAAGGTTTTTTTTTTTTTTTTTTCTTCCTTTTGTTCTTGAGTGAAAGTTGTGATAGTAGAGTTTAAGTAATATTGTGGTCAGGATTGAGTTGGGATCTTGTGTTTGCGTATTTTTTAAGATGGTATTAAAGCTTACTGTTGTTCCGATTGTTTTCTTTCTTTGAGTGACAGTGAATCAAAAGCTTTAAGATCTAAGTGACCTTTAAGATCCATATGATAGAAAAAAAAAATACATAAACCAGAACCCTCATAGTATTATTTTTTATTATATTAGTTATATATTGGACTCAAGTTGACTTTCCGTCTGCAATCGACACTACATGCTTCCGCGCACACACATAATCAACTATTATATACTAGGTGTAACACTCATGTATTACATGAGTTTAATTAAAAAAAATATATATATATAAAATTTTAACAATTTGAAAAGTTTGAATTTATAAGAAAAATGAGAAAAATTTGAATTATTAAAATTAATGAGATTTTAATGTATTGAATACCTTATATATATAAACTATTTCTAAAAAATATTTTACATATATATTACCTTACACATTAAATGTGGAAATTTTAATTTAATAAAATAAAAAATACAATAAAATGATAAGTGGAAAATAGAAATTTTAAAAATTCTAGAAAATGCCATGTGTCCAAATGAATGGGAAGAGAAAATGTGGCAAAAAAATCTTCGTTTATTATAGTAGATATTATGAATATAACCATGTCTAGATGGTAGGAACTCCAAAAAAAATCTCATTTTGTCATTAACACGTGTCATTACTGATGAAATTTGCATAATTGATCTTAAAATATCGCATTACTTGAGTTTTGTTAATCCTCTCTAATAAATGAATTTTTTTTTTTGCCACATGTCAATCTCTAATGAGTTTTGATATTTGTTATTTTGAGATATTAAAAAAAAAATATCCACATGTCAATTTATGGTATTTTTCAAATTTTAAAATTAAAAAGCCACATAATCTTAATTTTATAATTATATATGTAAAGTATCAAATGTATTAAATATTATAACAAATTGCAACTAATATATTTTTTTATTTCTTATTTCAAAATTTTATTTTAAAAAATACTTATTATTATATTTTAATATTTTATTTTTTTTAATCAACCCGTGTAAGACACCAACTTTACACCTAGTAAGTGTAATAGTTGATTGATATGTGAACTAATATCACATTTATCATAATGAAAATTTTATATTTTTATGTTATTAGAAGATTTAGATTTAGTTTAAATTAAGCAACTCATTATTTTGTGTTAAATATAGGCCAAACATAAATATTATGTCGTCTGAAGAATCAAAAGGACAATAAAGTTATTATTATTATTATTATTATTATTATTATTATTATTATTATTATTATTATTATTTTAATTTTTAGATTTATTATAATTATGTTGATATGATTTATTTCAAAAAGATAATTTTGTTCGAATTTGTGATGTAAACTTTATTATTAATACATAATATGTATAAGCGACGTATAAATGATTTTGTATATTTAGGTTAGATCTAAAATTTCAAGTTCATTTATGATAACCATTTTCTTCATATATTTTTATTCTTGTGCATCTGGACGAACGTCTAGTGTATACTATATTTACAAGAGCAAACTGAATTTTTTTATCCATTAAATTATTTAAAAATCTTCTAAAACATTTCAAGTGCATTATATATAAAATTCGAGTTATAGGTAACGAGAGAAAACTAACGGGGTAATTGGTGAAATTAAAAGAAGATACTGCAGCAACATAATTACAGGAATGGTTTTAAA